GCATCCATACAGGTACCTGACACCCTGGTGGACCAGGATATCCGCTAGTTATTAGTATTAGATTATAGATGTCTTCAAAGCATTGCTCGTATATCCTGGGACAGCCGAGTAAGCAATGCTGTTCTTAGGAATCGGATGCTAGGTAAGGATGGCAGGTCAATAAATAAAGTAGTGAAACTTCATCAGTTGAGGTGGTTGGGTCACGTGTTTCGTATGCCCAACGACCGACTACCTCGCCAACCTATGTTTTGCGATGTAGGAATAGGTTGGAAGAAGGCTAGGAGCGGCCAGAACAAAACATGACAGAAATCCATGAAATCACTGACAAGTGGACTGGGTCATGTTGGTAGGTGTCGACTACCTGGTTGGGCTCCGCGAGACGTAAGTCATCAGTGGTTAGAGACCTTGAACGACATGGCTCAAAACCGTTTGCAATGGCACAGGTGAATTCATTCATTGTGTTCTCTGAAATTCTAACCCGAATTCCCCATCATCTCTATCTTTTTCTTTCTAAAGTTATTTCACTGAATTATACCCTAATCTTCTCGATTACTGCTAATACTTCTACTATAGCTACCACTTTTGGATTTGAACTGACAGTTACATCTCTGTGCTAATGCGGTATGGCAACCTGAACTGATGTACATACGTACGAAGTTCTGTGTTGTATCTGTCTGTCTGTCTGTCTGACGTAACTTATTTTCACTTCAAGAAACTTACGCTTGTTATCCCTCATGGAGCACAGGATGCCGACAAGCGAATTATTTTTATGGTTAGTATTTTTTTTTTCTAGCGAGTTGGATTACTACAAGATGGGGTCGGTAACACCATAGGTAACCTTCTCCCTTTATCCGCGCTTGCGACTGGCAATAACCCTAGAAGTTCTCTAGGCAGCGATCGTACTTCTAGCGATCAGTCTTACAGTACGTATCACCAGGACTTTAACAACAGGAGAAATAATTAAAGTACACATTTAGGCAAAATCAATAAATTCATATTCTCTATTTCGGAATTGACTCTTATTAGTCACAATGTAATGATTTGTTTGTATACTCGAAATCAGCACATTTCTTTTCTTGACTGTGTTGCATGATAGTAGTAAAACAATAACTAAAGTTGTTCTCAATACAACTTCATGTATTCAGTCACTTCATTATTTTCATGATACCTTATTAGTGATAGTGATTTAATCCATCAATACAAGTCTGTACATGTGTAGAAGCATTGCTCTTCTATCAAAATTTAAGTTGGGGGGTGGGTGCGGTGGATTCATTATTCATGAGTTGATAGTTAACTAACCAACTACCTTATGTTATGTATTCAAGGATATCAATGATGAATTAATTCACTTTTGGGTGTACATAACAAATTATTTGATGAGATGATGATTCTGTATCAATTGAAGTTGTGATGTGAGCTACTTATAAGTAGTATATGACGTGAGTGTCAACGTAATGTCTGGCAGTAGAAGATGGGAGAAGATCAAGAAAGGAAGAGTTAGAAAACAATATAATTGGTATGAAATGCATGAATAGTGACAATGGGTTGATGTTTTGCAACAGGAACAGTCCAGTTCGATATGATGGACTGATGTTTTGTAAATGAACAATTTACGATATGGTTTTCCTATTTTACTGAGTAACTCTGGTTTTTTTCCTTACTTACGCCTGTTACCCCCAATGGAGCATAGGCCGACCACCAGTTTTCTCCAACCAACTCTGTCCTGGGCTTCCTTCTCCAGGTCTGTCCAATGTTTGTTCATTCCTCTCATATCTTTCTCTATTTCTCGGCGTAGTGTGTTCCTTGGCCTTCCTCTTTTCCTTTTGCCTTGAGGGTTCCATGTGAGGGCTTATCTCGTGACGCAGTTAGGTGCTTTTCGTAGTGTGTGTCCTACCCACTTCCACCGCTTCTTCCTGATTTCCTCCTCCACTCGAATCTGGTTTGTTTTCTTCCACAGTTCGTTGTTGCTGATGGTGTCTGGCCAATGAATCCGAAGTATTTTGCGTAGACAACTGTTAATAAACACTTTTATCTTCTGGATGATGCCTTTCGTAGTTCTCCAAGTTTCCACTCCATACAGTAGAACTGTCTTCACATTTGTATTGAAAATCCTGATTTTGGTTTTGGTTGAAAGTTGTTTGGAGTTCCAGATATTTTTCAACTGTAGAAATGCAGCCCTCGCTTCGCCAATCCGCGCCCTCACATCTGCATCCGATCCACCTTTCTCGTCGATGATGCTGCCCAGATACGTAAAGGTGTTAACTTCCTCCAAGGCATCTCCATCCAGAGTGGTTTGGTTGGTGCATGTTGTGTTGCATCGGAGAATTTCGCTTTTCCCTTTATGTATGTTGAGACCTACTGCTGCTACACTGGTTGTCTTCTCTTGCATTTGTTGTTGCGTGTGCGATAGAAGAGCCAAGTCATCTGCGAAGTCCAGATCGTCCAGCTGCGTCCTAACTGTCCAGTTGATACCTTGCTTCCCTGCAGACGTCGACGTCTTCATAATCCAGTCGATGACCAGGAGAAAGAGAAAGGGTGAGAGTAAGCAACCTTGCCTGACACCGGTCTTCACCTTAAAGGAGTCTGTTAGCTGTCCTTCGTGTACGATTTTGCAGTTGAATCCATCATAAGAATTCCGTATGATGTTAACAGTTTTTTCAGGCACACCGTAGTGTCGAAGAAGCCTCCACAGTGTTTACCTTTTCACGCTATCGAATGTCTTCTCGTAGTCGATGAAGTCGATGTAGAGTGGTGAGTTCCATTCAATTGATTGTTCCACAATGATCCGTAATGTAGCAATTTGGTCAGTACACGATCGATCCTTACGAAATCCGGCCTGTTGATCTCGCAGTTGGGCGTCGACGAAGTCCTTCATTCTGTTCAACAATAATCTGTTGAAAACTTTGCCTGACATTGAGAGAAGAGTGATGCCTCTGTAGTTCTCACACTTGCTCAGGTCGCCTTTCTTTGGTATTTTGATGAGGTATCCTTCTTTCCAGTCTGATGGTACTTGTTCCTCATCCCAAATCTTCTTGAAGAGGATGTGAAATATTTTCGCAGTTGCTTCCACATCTGCTTTCATTGCCTCTGCTGGAATGTTGTCTGGTGCTGCTGCTTTGCCACTCTTGATTTGTCTGATGGCCATACTGATCTCCTCAATCGTAGGTGCACCAATATTAATTGGGAGGTCCGTGGATGCTGCTTCGATGTTGGGTGTTTTCAGTGGAGCTGGTCGATTCAATAGTTCCTTAAAGTGCTCTACCCACCTATTTCGCTGTTCTTCAGCGTTGCTGATTATTTTCCCTTCCTTGCTTTTCACTGGTCGTTCTGGTTTACGATAGTTTCCGGCGAGCTTCTTTGCTGTTTCGTACAATTGTCTCATGTTTCCTTCTCTTTCAGCCTTTTTCGCCGTCATTGCTAGATCTTCCACATATTTTCGTTTGTCAGCTTTGATGCACTTATTCACTTCCCTGTTTGCTTCCGTGTATTCAGCTTGTTTCTTGATTTTCTCTGCTCTTGTTCGGCTGACATTGATTGCTGCCTTCTTGTTCCTCATTTATTCAATTTTTGCAAGAGTATCAACAGAGATCCATTCCTTGTGATGGTACTTCTTGCGACCAAGGACCTCCTGACATGTTGAAGTGATTGCCTCCTTAATCCCTTTCCAATTGTACTCCAATGTTGCTTCCTCTCCATTGAGTAGATCCTGAAAGGCCTGGAGCCTATTGGTGAGGGCTATCCTGAATTCGTTGAGCTTTATAGTATCCCGAAGAAAGGCTGTATTAAACTTCTGTGATGTTGTCTGCCCCGTTGTCCAGTGCTTATTTAGTTCGAGTTTCATTTCGGCGACCAGCAAATGGTGATCTGAGTCTATATCACCTCCTCTTCTGGTTCTCACATCCTCCATAGTCCTTCTGAACTTTTTGTTGATACAGATATGATCAATCTGGTTTTGAGTAGTGTGATCCGGTGAAATCCATGTAGCTTTGTGTATGCGTTTGTGCGGGAATATTGTGCCACCGATGACCAGTTTGTTGAAGGCACATAGGTTTGCAAATCTCTCACCGTTTTCGTTCCTTTCTCCCAGTCCATGTCGTCCCATGATGGCTTCATATCCAGTGTTGTCTATTCCAACCTTAGCATTCAGGTCTCCCATAAGAATCGTCAAATCCTTTGGTGAACATTTCTCGACGATTGACTGCAGCCTTTCGTAGAATTGGATCTTTAACGTCGTCATTGTAGTCATTAGTGGGTTCATAGCATTGGATGACGTTCATTGTAATGTCTTCTTTATTTGTTTTGAAGGATGCTTTGATGATCGTAGGTCCATGAGATTCCTATCATATCAGTGCCTTTTATGCTTGTTTGGACAGCGTCAGCGCAACTCCTTGTGTATGTGAAGCGTTTTCCTCTTCATGACCAGAGTATAACAGCAGTTCACCTGAAGCAAGTCTCAGTTGTCCTACCTGTGTCCAATGCGTTTCACTGATGCCGAGCACCTCGAGGTTGTATCTTTTCATTTCTGCCGCAACTTGAAATAGTCTTCCAGTCTCCCACAATGTACGAACGTTCCATGTACCTAAAAGAATGGTTGGTCTGGTTGTCAGAAGAGGCATTGGGCCCGTGACTTCCGAGGGAACTCGGCTTTCATCACGAGACTTTTTTTATGTCCTTCAACTCCCAGGGCAGAGTTAAAATGGTTTGAATTATTTTTTCTGGTTAGCGTTTTTTTGGCAAGTGAGATTTCGACGGAATAGGGTCGCCAACTCCATGTCCAACCCTCCTCCTTTACCCGGGCTTGGGACCGGCAGTAGCCCCTAAGGTTCTACTGGCGGAGTTTGAGTAACTCTGTAATTTTCGTTAAATACAATTCGGTTGCCCAACCTGTGTTCTCGTTCACTACAAAGTGATTTAGGACATGGATTATTGCGAACATCTGACATGTGCAGATGTTCTTCTTGTTGTTGTTGGAAGAAAGCTAAGTGTTTGCAGACCAAAACATGAATATTGAACGGAGTCATGTTAGTCCGGGATCCTGATTCTTTTCTGAACTCGGAACTTGTACTTTCTGGATGTTTGTAGAATACAGATTCTACTTCATATCAAGTGTTCTTCTTTTACTCAATTGGGGGTTTGGGACGCTCGGATTAGAATAGCCTGTTGTGTCACCGGATCCTCGATCCTCGCTCTCGTTTCCCAACCAAGGTAAACTTGTAATAGTTCAAGCTTAACAAAAGACATGGTTACGTGCATGTGTAACACTTGTCTTGCCTCAGATAATCAGAATGAAAAACGTCATGTATGTTTAGTTCTGCCGATTAATTCTTCTTAGAACCTATTTTCCGTAGTTGATATTCGATGTTAGTTCCCCAGAACTCGCTTGATAAATATCTTTCTTTTGGATTTATTTCATGCACCGATCAGCTGACCTTAAGATCACATTTCCCACTAGGAGAATCCTTGGCTGTGACTGGTTACTGTGTTATTTTAGTGACTGTCCCAAGGAAGTCTCTATAAAGTATGAATAAACGCAATTTGTGTGTTTGGATTCATTGTGTGCTGGCTGGGTGTTTGTAGAATATACTTTCTACGCTATTTCAAGACTTCTTGCTGGTACAATTGGGACACTCGGATCACAGTAGTCTACCTGGACTCTGGTTCATTGTTTTGTTCTCGTTAGTCGACTAAGGTGAATCCGTAATAGTTTAAGCATACCTGAAGTAGAGCATAACAATTATGTATGTTTTTGTTGGGGATGTTAGATCCCCAAAATTCGCTTTATTTCGCCTTATTTTGGTTTTCATGTTTGCCAGCACGGGCTGATCAGTTGACCTTGAGATTTCAATTCCCACCAGGAAAATCCATGGCTGTCATTGGCTGCGGTGTATTTTAGTGTGCTATTTTCTTAACTTTCTCTAGGACGTTCCTATGTTGTATAAATAAACGACAGTTTTGTGCTTGATTGTACTGTGATTGCTGGGTGTTTGTAGAATATACTTTCTACGCTTACAAAGCCTTTTCACTTCAGCCTGGGGATTCAAGGTAGCCTACCTGGACGCTGGTTTATTGTCTCGTTCGCGTTTAATCGACTAAGGTTAACTCGTAGTAGCCTCAAGCATACTAAGTGACGAACTTATCAGTTTTGTTCGTCCGATTAATTCTTCTTAGAACCTATTTTCCATAGCTGATATTTTTAAGTACAACTGACATTATGTCTACCACTACTACTAATACTACTGCTACTACTACTACTACTGCCCACACTACTACTGTAGTGAATGAGAACACAAGTGATGTCAACCGAATTGTATTTAACGAGAATAACAGAGTTAATTGGTAAAATAGGAAAGCCATATCGTAAATCGTTAATTTGCAAAATATCAATCCATCATATCGAACTGGAGGACTGTTCCTGTTGCAAAACACCAATCGATTGTCTGATTCCACTGTATATGCGTTTCATACAAATCCCATCGAGTTCCCGCTCTTCCTTTCTTGATTTTCCTCCATCTTCTGCTGCCAGACATTACGTCTTTACTCGCGTTATATACTACTTATAAGTAGCGCGCATCACACCCGTCCCCCCTCTTAGTAAGATGTCGTCGTAGTCTTTCTGATCGCCGCACCGCTGTCTTCTTTGGTGCTTCCAGTGACTCACACACTTGATAATCTTGAAACCACCTCTGCAGTTGACTGGCATTTACACGCTTCTGCTTGTCTTCTCTCCGGATCGTGTACACCGCGCCGCGTCTCTCCGTGATAACGTACGGTCCTTCCCACTTTGGGATCAGCTTTCTCCACCCTGATCCCCCTGCTATGCTAATTTTTTGTTCTCTACACTTTACTAGGTCCCCCACTGCAAAAGGTTTCCACGTTCTCCTCTGTTGTTCCGCCTTATTTATGTCTGATATTTGTCTCTTTCCCACGTTCCTGATTGCCTCCCTCCTCTCTTTTCTTAACCTTGTTGTTGTCCATTTCTGTTGTTGTGGCCAGGTCTTATTGTGCAATGGAAGTCGCGGTTGTCTGCCATACATGAGCGAGAAGGGTGATTTCTTGGTTGTACCTTGTATGGAGGAACGATGCGCCAGCAAAATCAATGGTAACTCTTTCTCCCAATCTCCTCCTTTAGATGCTAACCATTCCTTTAACGTCCGGTTGTTTCTCTCTGTAAGCCCGTTTGTCTGAGGATGATACGGTGTAGTTCGTATCCTCTTGATGCCAAACTGTTTTAGACGGTCTTTAAACTCGTCACTTTCAAAACAGGGACCCTGGTCAGTTAATATCATTTTCGGTATTCCGTGGCACGCTACAATATGCCGGATCACCACTTCGGTCACTGTTCTTGCCCGCTGGTCTGGAATGGGTACGGCATCTATCCGACGTTTGGCATGCTCCGTCATCACTGGCAGGTACCGGTTACTGCTCGCCGTCTGTGGAAACGGTCCCATTATATCCACCGACCAAAGATCACCGACTGCGGTTGTGTGTATCTATCGCTTTTCATTAGTTGACACTGCTGGCAAGTTAACACGTATTGAGCCACATCGTCTCTCATGCCCGGCCAGTATGCACTTTGTCGTAATAAATCCGTCGTTCTTGCGATGCCTGTACGTGCTACCTGGTGACACTCGTGTATCATCTTACGCCGCCATTCTTTCGGGATTACAGCCACCCGATTCTTGTCATCGTCCTGCCAGGTCAGGATCCCATATGCGTTCACTCTCAGTCGTTCCTTTTGCCTAAGTAACATTATCACCTCCTTTTCCGTCGTTCGTTTGTCTACGTCTACTCCTTCTTTTAGGACTCTGATTACCTCTCCAAGGTTCCTGTCAGCTTTCTGTTGCCGGATGAGTTCTAATGGGTGTCTCTCCAGACTACTCACCGCGTATGCTGTCACTGGAAGGTCAGCTTCCGTGTCTGATCTTGACAGGTAATCCGCCATTAGGTTTTTCTTTCCTGAAACATGGCCGATACTGAAGTCGTATTCTTGCAGACGTATCATCCACCGTGCCAACTTCCCACGGGGGTCTCTTGCTGTTCTCAACCACTGCAGGGGTTCATGGTCAGCCTCAATGTGAAATTCTCTATCTAAAAGGTCCGGTCTCCATTGTTTGATCGAACTGGACTGTTCCGGTTGCAAAACAACAATCGATTGTCTGACATTTCACTGTTCATGCATTTTATACAAATCAAATTGTGTTCCCGCTCTTCCTTTCTTGATCTTCCCCCATCTTCTGCTGCCAGACATTACGTTTTCACTCGCGTCATATACTACTTATAAGTAGCGCGCACCACACTATTATTATTATTACTACTACTGATGTGACATAATTAGAATTTCATCCCTCTGTGTGTTAAAATATATTCTGAAAACCTAAATCCAATGTAAATATGTATATCAGATATCATTGTTCAGACTCTATTTAAAGAAAGATTTTTTTCTCTCATGGTATTTGAGTTTATAGGAAGAAGCAAATATTGGTCGACCGAATTGGGAGCATTTAAATGATAAATTGCATGTTTTAATTACTATTGATGATTATGAAAATCGTGCTAAAATTAGACTGGAAAAAGCTAGTCAATACATTAGTCAATTTTTACAAGAAAGTATCAAAGTGGTAAGTTCAGTGAATGAATAAATAAATAGTATGCTTCTTTTAATGCATATTATGAATTTTTGTTTCAGGGTGTGTGTTACGACTGCACGTCGTAAACACGTCAACTTGATATACTTGAACTATTACCAGTTTACCTGGTCGGAATCGAGAGCGAGGATCGAGGATCCGGGCGACAAGACATGCTACTCAAATCCGATTATCCCAACCTCATATTGAATAAAAATAAGAAGTTTAGATATGAAGTAGAACATGTATTCTACAAGCATCCAGAAAGTACGAGGTCCGAATCAAGAAGAGAAATAGGATCCCGGACTAGGGATCTGGGACCGGGTCCCGGTCCTGGTCATAAAACGTTACAGATAATGTGTATTTATGCATTTTGGTCGAATAGGAAAGAGCATCGAAGTCTGTGACATTGGCAGTTAAGACGACCAATAAGAAGCAACATTTGAAGTGACATTGATAGTCAGGACAACCAATAAAGAACAATATTGGAGCAGGTGACATTGATATCTAGGACGACCATAAAATTAATCAGTAGGAATTAACCAGTAGAATTTAACCAATAGAAATTGACCTATAATTCTCTTAGGATATTGGATGAATATCCTAACAGTGTGTACTATATATACTCCAAGTTTGTGTATGATTTTATGTCTATCCGTACAATATAGATGCTTTTATAGCTTGTCTAAACGTGTGACTTCAATTTTCTTAGTTTATTAGTCAGAAATACACACTAATCTCTCATGAAGTGTAAATGATACAGTAGACTTTGATTTCTTTTTGTAGTAATTATGATAGATATCATCATATCATTGATACTTATTGTTTCAATGAAATCATTAATCGATCAATGTTAGACCATTACTGTGAAACTTAGAAGCACCAAAGGGCTGTTTCGTCCTAGTATAGGAATCATCAGCAGTGCACATGCATTAACTCCACAAATGGGAATCAAGCTGAGGACCTTCGGTTTCGCCCGCGAATGCTCAGCCTCTTGACCACTGAGCCGGCATTCAACGGTGTTTATGTATGACTTCAATAAATTCACAACATTGCACCACTTCGCTTTGTCTTCGGCAGGCAACTGCCTCGCATTCGACATGGTTGAATTCCACTGTCCATGAGTACTCACCAGAACTCTGAGAATTCTCTCATGAAGGTAGTCATTAGTGAGCATGTGATATTGATATGTTTATAGAGAATGTGAAACCACCAATGATGGATTCATGTTTTCAATGATACTCAACATCCTCTACAACCTTATTATAATGGCAATGACTTTTGTTGTCACATATCAATCAAAAGATATGTACACGAAGAAATGGACTATGGATTAGTGGTTAAAACATTCGACGCTTAACAACAACGCATTATCACCCCCGACGTCATTTTATGCATTTTGATCAGCTTTACCTAGAGTTTTGACTTAAAGCATTAACTACTTGCATCTATATACTTGTTTACTGAGTTGTTTTAAATTAATATAAGCTTATATTGCAATTCTATTTGTTTTAACACATTTGAAATCATGAATCAATCATTGTTAGACCACCATTAGAAACTTGGATGCACTGGACGGCCGTTTCTTCCTATTATGAGACTCATCAGTGGCAGTGCGCATCCACGAATCCTGCACCTCGCAGGATTCGAACTCGGGACCTTCGTTTTTTACGTTCGCACGCCTAACCTCTGGTCAATTTAGTCATTTTGCGCGATCTCACCTATTTGTCTTTGGTAGTTACTGCCTACACCTGACAGGGTTGAACTCCACTGGTCACATCTCACTAGAACTCCAAGAATTTCCAAGTTTCTAATGGTGTGGTCTAACAATGATTGATTGATGATTTCAGATGTGTACAAACACTAATCTCCATAACTTTAATTGAAAAGTTCTGTTTGTATCTTAAACTAGTATTGAGAGACATTTGCTTCAGAAATAAAAAAAACTCATACATACTTAGCAATTACAAAATAGGCATATTACAATAAGCTTGCACATTATCCTTAATATGATTGATACATCTCTATCTATGTCTATGGTTGTATTGAATAAGACTTAAGCTTTGCGATTACAAAGTTTTGCATTGATTACTTGATTTTATTGCTTACAATAGCCTTTCTCTTTTTCTCTCTCTGTCTCTCTTGAAGCTAAAATTGTTAATTACATTTCAAGTATTCATTTGCATTACAACACTACTATTATTATTATTACTATTATTGTCTTTAATTAATACTCATGTGATTCGGTATTTATTTGTTTATGCATTTTGATTTTCCACTCTTTCGTGTAAGTGAATATTGCTGACCATGCATTCATGTGTAAATGACACCTACGTACTGCATACTACTACTACTACTACTACTACTACTACTACTACTACTACTACTACCACTACTACTACTACTACTACTACTACCAAAAATGATCATAAGGTGGTTTGTCCTTGTTATAGATGTAAGTAAAGCTGAATTGAAAGTGATTTATTCTGCCTCGGATAGTCATATCATTGTTTCTGTTGTTGTTGTTACTTGTATGCAAAAACTATCGCTAATCATCATGTCATATGTGTGCCATTTTTGTTTGTTTCACATTGTGTTGACAAAACTAGTGATTAGCTAGTTAGTGAGATTGTTATTAGTTATATTCATATGTAAGACAGGCAAACTAATAAACATGTCGGCAGGCAGTTGTTGTTTACAACATCACAGATTGATTTTAATTAGAGAGCTACTGGAAACCAATAAGCATTAGATAGTTGTTTGTCTTAGTTTGAGGGGGACTCATCAATGCTGCGTGTTCACAAGTCCACCACCAGGGGTCGAGCCCAGGGTCTTCAGGTTTCATGGTCTTTAGACCATATAAGCCAGAATTGATTATTTTCTATGTGTGACTAACTTCAATCGATTTGTATTATTGTGCAATAATCTTTTAATGTCATTTGCAGATAAAACTGCCTTACATCCTATATGCTCATAGTTCTTTTATTAGTGTTATAATGGGATGAATACGGTAAAAGTTGGATATGAGTTGTTAAATAACTGAATTACTATGTCTGTGTATTCTGTTTATGATAAGCTTTCATCTAACCCATTCACTACTGTAATACGATTCATTAAGGCAACTTTTGACTTTGTTGATCGTAAGGTTTTGTGGCACTGTCTGTCATTAAAAGGTATACCAGAGAAGTACATTAACCTTATAGAAATTCTCTACTCGAACACTACAGGTTGAGTTAGAGCTAATGGCGACCTGTCATAAAAATTGATTACTTACAGTGGTGTCCGTCAGGGATGTCCACTTTCTCCATTCTTGTTCAATTTTGTCATAGACGTGCTTCTAGCTATAACATTATCTTCGTGAAACATAGCCAATTAGATTAGAAGATATTCGTATGTTGCTGGTTTCCGATCATAGGTGTCTCCGAAGCATTGCTCGTGTACCTTGGAACAACCGAGTAAGCAATGCTGTTGTTACGAAACGGGTACTAGCGAAGATAGGTAGGTCAATAAATGAAGTGTTGAAACTACACCAGTTGAGGTGGTTAGGACATGTGTTGCGTATGTTCAACCACCGACTGCCTCGTAGAGCTATGTTTTGCGGTGTAAGAGTAGGTTGGAACAAAGCTAGAGGCAGCCAGATCAAAAAACATGACAGAAATCCATGAAGTCAAAGACAAGTGGAGTAAGTCATGTTGGTAGATGTAGGCTACCTGTTTGGGGTGCGCGAGACAAAGATCACCAATGGTTAGAGACTTTGAACCACATGTATCGAAATCTTTTGCACTAGCCCAGATGCATTCACTTTGTGTTCTCTCAAATCCTAACTTTCAGAGTTCCTCATCACTTTCATCTCTTCCTTTTGAATTTTATTTCAGTAGATTCTACTTCTTGAATAATATCGTCGAATCTTAAAATCTCCGATTACTGCTAATACTTCTGCTACCTCTACTACTATGGGATTTGAATTGACACTTGCATCTGTCTGTGCTAATGTGGTATGGTAACTTGAACTGATGATATACGTACGTATGTACATAGTTCTACGTTGCTGTTGATTGATTGATATGATTCGCTATACCTAATTTGTTGCCAATCCATTACTTACATCTTCCCTTGTTCACATTCACTCTTGACTTGTTTATACACATAGATATGTATCATTGTTATTTTCTATTTTATGGTGTTGTGTAGTCCAGTATGTTTGTGTATATAAACCGACATATGCTTGAAGTTAAATAACCACAAGTATGGAAATCTTCTGCTTACTTCCCTCTGAATGAATTCAAATCATGGAATAAAGAAAAAAAGACTTCCGTGTAGCATACCATTTAAAAATTTAACTTTACGTCAGTTCAATGTTAACAATATGCAATTCAGAAGTGTATTATTTATATAAACATGAGATAGTGAAAAAAATTGTAATCGGAATTCGGATTACTGATGTATTTTGCACATGATATCGATTAGTATCTTAAGTTGAAACACTTAGAAATCAGTTACTTCTAGAAAATAATTAATAGTCATGTAAGGATATTCATCAAATATCCTAAGAGAATTATTTGTAAGTCTAGTTCTATTGGTCAATTCCTATAGGTCGTCCTAACTATCAATGTCACAGACTTCAATGTTGGTGCCTCTTCAACCTAACTGTATAAATATGCATTATCTGTAATGTTTTATGACCCGGATCCTCACTCCGGGATCCTTAACCTCTTCTGGACTCGGAGCGCGTACTTTCTGGATGCTTGTAGAATACATGTTCTACTTCATATCAAGTCTTATTCTTTTACTCATTTGGGGTTTGGGACGCTCGGATTAGATTAGCATGTCGTGTCGCCGGATCCTCGATCCTCGCTCTCGTTTCCCGACTAAGGTAAACTCGTACTGGTTCAAGCATATCAATTGACGTGTTTACGTGCGTGCGTGCATAACAAGTAAACATACAAATTGTCAGTTAGATCGATCTCTAATTTTCACCAGATTTTATTCATCATACAAGAAAAAATTGCATAACAATATGTTAAGATTAAACTTTTTTGTTGTTACTAATGTCGAATTCAAAAATTATTATTCACCTAGGTACATTGATTGACTTGTATCTCATTGAATTTTGTTGAAATTGGATGTTGAATCACGCTTACAACGTATAATTAATAATAATAATAATAATAATAATAATAATAATAATAAAAGTCCATCAATTATAATAGAAAAAACTCTATTCTTTATTTGACTGATTGTGAAGTATGTAACATACAGTGTGGTTTTTTGCCATTGGGATTTATTGATTTTATGTGTAATAATACCTGTGATGATAACAAACTTGTCTATTCATACTATTGTCTTACATGCAGAATAATACCTTTGAAGTCATTGATACTAGAGTACTTACTGTATTTGTACTGAATACTTCGGTTTTGTTATAATTCTTTCTCTCTTATTACATACAACCCAGCTATTTCCTAATGCTTAGTATTGTCGAACACCAATTCACTCGAGATGTTCTCCCCCAAATCAGAACATGGTTGAATAGGAAAAGACCTGAACTGGTGATAGGGAGTGAAGTAGTCAAGCGTGTTGATTACTTCACTTATCTGGGGAGTCTCATCAGTGCTGATAGCCTGGTGACTGACGAAATCTCAGCTCGGATACAGAAAGCTCGATTGGCTTTTGCCAATTTACGCCGTTTATGGCGTAGGCGAGATATCCGTTCGCTAACCAAAGGACGGGTGTACTGCGCAGCAGTTCGCTCCGTTCTCCTATATGGATGCGAAACATGGCCGTTAAGAGTAGATGTTCGTAGGTTACTAGTATTCGATCATAGATGTCTTAGAAGCATTGCTCGTATATCGTGGGACAACCGAGTAAGCAATGCTATCGTTAGGAAACGAGTTCTAGGTAAGGATGGCAGATCAATAGATGAAGTGGTGAAACTAACCACCGACTGCCTCGACGAGCTATGTTTTGTGGTGTATGAGTAGGTTTGAAGAAATCTAGGGGTGGCCAGAAAAAAACATGGCAGAAATCCATGAAGTCACTGACAAGTGGACTGAGTCGTCTTGGTAGATGTAGGCTACCTGGTTGGGGTCCACGAGACGAAAGTCTCCAATGGTTAGAGACCTTGAACGACATGGCTCAAAATCGTTTGCAATGGCGCAAGTGCATCCATTCGTTGTGATCTCTCAAATCCTAATCTTCTGGATTCATCAGCATCTCTACATTTGTCTTACTAACCTTATCTCACTGAATTATATTTCTTGAATAATATCTTCGAACCCTAGTCTTCTTGATTACCATTAATACCTCTAACATCTCAATCACTATGGGATTTGACATTTGCGTCTCTGTGCTGATGTGGTGTGGCAATTTGAGCTTATGTACATACGTACGAAGTTCTACGTTGTAACTGACTGATATTGATATTTTTCTTACATGAGAATATTCTAGAATGTTCCCTCAGTATCGGCTAGCGCTGGTTGGTTGGGAAAGAGCCAATCAGCGTGCAACAACGCAATCATTCTTTAATCCAATATATATATGTCCCACTAACAGGTTTCATTTTAAAATCTTATATTTTCGCTTAATTAAAAAAACCTAATCAGTGAGAATTTGTAAATTAAGTAATTCTGCAACTATGTTTCTTAGCAACGGTCTACATTCAATAAAAATGACAAGGTCGATTCGAAACTAATGCATCGTGTAAATAAAGCATTGTTTGAAAAAAAACAACTAAATTTTAGATTGTTCTTAAAGAAGCGATTCATTAATTTTTTTGTCGACTTCAATTCTTTAAATGCATAAATGTAGGTCGATATCAGACCTTGGTAATTTTTTACTCTGCCAACAACATGCCTTTTTTTTATTCTCATTCAAGATCATTCCTACTGGGATAAAAAATTGTTCTTGTCAACGATTCATAACTAACATTTTTCTGAAACTTAATATGTGATTAATTGAATAGTATACTTTCGCGCGAATGTATACTATGGTAGTTGTGAAAGGTAGAAGTCAATCTTTACTGTTAAGTATAGTATACACAATGATGACCTAAGAGCTATGTTTCGCGACGTAGGAATAGGTTAGACGAAAGCTAGTGGCAGCCACACCAATACATGGCAGAAATCTATGAAGTCATTGACGAGTAAACTGTGTCATGTTGGTTGATGGAGGCTACGTGATTGGGGTCTGCGAAGGCATAGTAATCGATGGTTAGAGACCCTAAATGACATGACTCAAAACCGTTTGCAATGGCACAGGTGCATTCATTCTTTGTGTTCTGTCAAATCCTAACCTTCTGAATTCCTCATCACCTTTATCTTTTTAAGTTTATTTCACTAGATTCTACTTCTTGAATAATATCTTCGAACCATAATCTTATCCATTACTGCTAATACTTCTACTATCTCTACCACTATGGAATTTGAAGGGATAATTGCATGTCAGTGTGCCAATGTGGTATGGTAACTTGAACTGATTGATTATTATTTAAAGATGTATCTATATACCCCCACACCCACTCCCATGTTATTATCAAATCATTCAAACAAGTACTTAGTTGAGAATGAAATGCACAAGTACATGTTTGTAAACAGTTATCAATGTTTTGTTCCTGTTTATTGTTTAACCTGTAAACACATTGTCATGATTATTATTGTTATTATTATTATTATTATTATTATTATTATTATTATCAGAATTATAGATATTTCAATGTATCGTTATATTTTTTCATAAGTATGATCTATCATGTATGTATGTTTATATGTTTTTATGCAATAACTTTCCTTCTTCTTCCTCTCTGTCTCCAAACACGCACACACACATCATATTACCATAGTCTGATAAAGATGATCATGTGAAATTAATGCAATCCATGGAATTGTCCATTCTTCGTAAAGGTATTCTCACACATTGACTTTTATGCTAACAAATGACTTTGAACATTATTATTTTCATGCATATATTCTAATCAAAACACAACACATTTGCCAACCATAACAAATAAAAAAACACCACTAACAATAAATACATGTTACATATATAACCACTAACCACTATTGTGTGAATATTATTTTCGTATTAGTTCATTTCGTTTGTTGTTGATCTTATCTCATATGTTTTTTTTTTGGTTTCTTCATTTGTAAACTAATCGTGTGTGTTGTGTGTGTGTGTGTGGTTTATTTTGACATTTTCGGTTCATTTACACTCGGTTTATTTGTTTATTTTCAATTAGAGTTTTTGGAGATTAGTGTTTTTACACATTTGAAATCATCAATCAATCAATCAATCATTGTTAGACCACACCATTAAAAACCTGGAAGGCGTGGATGGCCGTTTCGTCTTGGTATAGGACTCATCAGTGGCAGTGCGCACCCACGAATTCTGCACCTTGCATGATTCGAACCCGGGACCTCCGGTCTTGCGCGCGAACGCCTAACCTCTGGACCATTGGACCGGCACCCAACGGTGTTAATGTCTAACTCTGATTGATCTAGGGATTTTGCGCGATCCTTGGTAGTTACTGCCTACACTCGACAGGGTTGAGCTCCACTGGTCACGTCTTATCGCTAGAACTCTGAGAATTTCCTCACGAAGCTGTTTATTATTTTATTTATACAAACAAATATTGGTATAAAGGAGCACATAAATATATATGCGCCATACAAATTAATGACTTTGTGATTGCGCTGCCCAGACTGAAACGTGCGGTTTTCATAGGGGGTCACTCACTGAGCCGTTGACCGAGAAGTCTAATACACAAAGCAGTGAAGTAACATAGAGAGTTGCAGTCTCGTGGTATTCAGTGACCAGCAATAGGTGTATACGCCATTTGTACCCTTATGATCCTGGAGCCGGTGTGCACCACTGGTTTGGAATGAAGGTTTTCCAACTCTACCAGGTGTATCCTCCGTTCCCATCACCCGGTTTAAGTCCCCACTGGATATTCGCTTCTCGTCCTCTCAATTTAGTAAACAACATCCGTTCTTCGAGAAGGAAGTGAGTATCCCTTCCCTTGTAGAGGTTAAATTGGTGTGGCTATATGAAAGCATTTCGAGAGAGATAGATAGCGGACTCTCGACCATATTTGAGGGCGCTTAGTCACAATGATGGAGGATTTTATCTGTGATGCAATTCGATGGGGTCCTTTGAACTGTAAGGTTTAATCTCGAAGCTTTCACAGTTCTTGTGAACAACATTATTAGAACCAAATCCAATGACTCTACGTATGGCTTTACAGCTTGTCCTGTTGACCTTGATTCTGAATGGTTATCGGTGATGTTGTTTACAAAAACTGAAAGCTTCACGATTTAATCATCCAGCTCTGAAAGCAAAACCTCCATCAAAATCATCCACCTGAGCTATTAGTAGTATTCACCTTATCAATTCGATAAGTAATTGATTGAAGTACTTGTACTTAACTTGTCGAGTGATGTATACGCTGAAGAATCTTCTAGTTCATCTGTCTTACCTTCTGCTTAGTCGACAAATCAAATGTTTACTCTTGAAAGGTTGCTCAGTAGTTAAGGTTTTCAATAGAAACACTAGACCCCAGGTTCGAATCCCGCTTTATATATTTTTCTTGTGAGAAACCTAGTTAGATCATTATCTTTTGCGCTTAAAGTTTGGATCAAAATCAAGTAATAATTGATTAGATATAGTTGACCGTTAAACAACAGAACCGTTTATTATGTTATGGATAAATGCATAATATAACAAGTTTCACTAAACCCTAAGATTATTTCCAGTCAGTCAGTTAGTTACAAAGTAGAACTTCGTTCGTAAGTTCATAAGTTCAGGTTGCCATACCGCAAAAGCACAGAGACGCAACTGTCGATTCAAATCTCATGGTGGTAGAGGTAATGGAAAAGTTTGAGGTTCGAAGATATTATTCAAGAAGTATAATCCAGTGAGATAACTTTGGTTAGCAAACGGATACCTCGCCTATGCCATAAGTGACGCCAGTTGGCAAAAGCTAATCGAGCCTTCTGTATTTGTTCTGAGATTTCGTCAGTCACCAGGCCATCAGCACTGATGGGACTCCCGAGGTAAGTGAAGCGGTCGAAACGCTCAACTACTTTGCTCTTTATCATTTGTTCAGGTGACGACGCAAGCCAATACTGAAGCATTTCGACGGGGAGAATCGCATCCTGAACATGCTTACATTGTTGCTGAGATTAGTCAGGAGACCATGCATTTTATCAGCGTCTTCGCCTTGTAGAACTATGTCATTGGCTTATTGTGAGTCAACCAATGAATCTCCTGGTGGAATGTCTACTCCTGAAAATTCAGACGAAGATAATGTTATTTCTGAACGTATGTCAATGACAAAAAGTTAAATAAAAATGGAGAAAGTTGATATCTCTTAGGAAAACCACTTGAAGTGAAGAATTCTAAAGTCAGTTCACCATAAGATCTCACCCGACCTGTAGTGTTCCAGTAGAGAACTTGTATAAGGTTAGTGTACTTCTTTGGTACACGTTCCAATGACAGACACTGCCACAGAACCTCACGATCCACTGAGTCGAATGCCGCCTCAAGGTCCAGGAACACGACTATTGTCGGACGTCTAAATGTGTGTCTGTGCTCCAGGACCTGTCGTAGTGTGAAGATGTGGTCTATACAGCCATGTCCAGGTCGAAAACCAGCCTGGTTTTCTCTAGTCTGCTCCTCACGAGCTCTAGTTCGACGTCTAAGTATAATCGAGGCTAACAATTTAGAAACTATATTAGTTAGACTGATTCCCTTGTGACTGTCACAAGAAGACTTTTGTCCTTCCTTATAGATTGGGACAATTAGCGACTGAGACCAGTCAGATGGGATAACGTCCAGTTACCAGATTCTGCCTTAGACTTCGGTCAGTCAGGACCACCATCCTTAAACATCTCAGGGGTAAGCCTATCAGGACCCGCTGCTCTTCCTCTCTTTAGATTTCCTATTGCTTTCTCAACTTCATGTAGACTAGGAGGACTTACATCGATTTGCCATTCAGAATGACTGGAGATCGTTTCAGTAAACTATTTTTTTGATTTTCCTAATTATAATGTCACTTTTTATTTTCACTTTTGTTATATTGAAATAAGATTCACACTAATCTGTTTATGCAATTAAACAATTTTTTGCACTTTTGTACTCAACAAAAGCTTTATTGATTTTTGATTCAAGTTCATTTCTAGAAAAAATAAATTAATATTCGACTTAACGAATAAGTTGCAATTTTTCAAATGTTGTATACTAATATTCTTTTCTAATATATGTGTGATCAGTTGACCATTATATGATAAATATCTTCATAATTTTCTGCATAGTACAATACTTTTAAAACTTGAATAACTAAATGTTTCTTTACTGGAATATGTGTGAATGAAGCTGTGGAAAAATCAACAGCTTGAATAAACACTATTCTACTCAAGAGATTCTAATATCTTCAAACGTGTTAAACTGAACTACAGCATCTTTTCTTCATTATTTCATCAATTCGCAACAATTTTTGTTGACCAACTTCCATAATTTACCTATTGATTCGACAAGGTTTTATAGATATTTTTAACTAGTGTAACTGAACCCTCACTCATTTAGTATGTACGTGTAGGATTTAATTTGTCCTACAGATGTACTTCTAAAACTGTAAACGCGATATTGGAGAGTACAGAGTCTATGGGAAAGCTCTAGTCAGAACAAGACCAATATTTGCTTTAAACTTTGTCTGTTTCTACACATAAAAAACGATTAGATTAGTGCAAACGTACCGACCAATATGGCGTATCTTATGGAAATGAATAAAACAATGAGTCACATCAATAATAATAAGATAATAATGTCCTTCAATTAGTAGGTCATCTACAACCAAGAAAGTTTACAGACACGTCAGATCAGGTCACGTGGTGAGCGCTTAAACGACAATTTGATTGGTTAGTTATGACATAACTACAATTAGTTATGGAAATAGCTAACAGTACGCGTATGGGTACTTGGGATTTTAATAGTTAGTTGATTGAAGATAAAATGAAGACATCTGTGCTATTGTAACTGATTCTAAGCTTGTTTATCATCACATAGGGTCCTTCAATATGTTCGTCATCTATCAGTATTGCTCAAATCACAACAATCGTTGACTTATACTCGGTGGCTTGATTCGGCCTGCACCTTCCAGGTTTTTCTTTTCAACCTAATTGAAATTGTCAATGATTTGAGAACATTTTTCAACTTAAATAAAAGTTGAATATTGATTATTGTTACTATACTTCTTAAAAGAAAAATTTTTAGTCAACCGTTTGGTGTAATTTATTTACAAAATAAATTTCTAACTGTGTTGATTACTTTGTGTGATCATGTGTGTCTAACCAACTAATTGATTGTCGTGTCATTCATTGTTTTTTAATTGTAACATTGATTGACTTGAAATTTCATTGTTAACTCATGATTGTCAAATGATCTATATATTTAACCATGAATCGATCAATGTTAGACCACCATTAGAAACCTGGAAGCACTGGACAGCCGTTTCGTCCTGGTATGGGACTCATCAGCCGTCCAGTGCTTTCAGGTTTCTAATGGTGGTCTAACATTGATCGATTCATGGTTACAAATAAAACTTAACAATCTTCACAACAACCCCTCAATGCGATCTATATATGCACATAGAATATGACAGGTACAAAATCAAGAACAGCTCTATTCAACTTCGATCAGGAAAAACATCCTATGCGCTGTTTAATGTAATTAGTTGGCATAAAAAGATGATATGATTTGAGACTTTTGTTTGCAGACGTTTTCTTAGACAAGCAACCATGCTGCTATGTATACCAGTCTTTCGTTTCGTATATAAGTATAAGGATAGAGGAATTAGAGTGGTTATCGATTAAAAAAGTATGAGCAGTAAGACCGTGGAGTCAATGTAATCGATACACCAGATGATAAAACAGTGAGATAAAGTGTTAGGTTTAGCATGCTATGTGCTTTAAATATACTTTCAGCTTAATATCTGATTAACTGTAGTTTTTTTTACTTGCGTGGTTCATACGTATATCGTCGAAAAATAAAAATATTACTGTTTTGAATCAGCGTCTAAAGATTGTTGATTTAGTGCTACCCCATAATGAAAATAACATTAGTACTGCGGTGGTTTTGATTGAACATTAATAACCACATATTTCATCGTTTAAATCACTGACTTGTGTTAGCTAGTGTACATGTGGATTTGTGAAAAATTTGTCTATCGCACACAATAGATGATGGTTTCGTGATATCTTGATAGATATCGGTCTAGTAAACGTTCATACATGAGATAAAAGGTGTCAGATTCGATTCTTCAAATACAGGATCGTCGATACGCACTGTTAAAGAATTCCATACTTAATTGAAACAGCCGTTTAGTCCTTCTAGGGTTCTCAATGATATTCTGACTAAAATCAATTAGTGATTCAAACTTTGAAAGTTCTACAAACTCAACGAAATAAATTTTTTGGTTCCTTCCCCATGCTCATCACTGTCGATTAAAATATTATTTTCTTGTGATTTCATTGATAGTTATTTTTCAAAGATACACAACAAAGAGGGAATTGTATTTTTAAATTGTTTAAAATTTTATTCAAAATCGCGCTAATGCGTTTAATAAATTAGTTTTAAGCATGGTCACAGTTATAGAAAGTTTTTTTGTAAAATAAGCTACCTCTCGTAGCGTTTCTATTATTCACTGAGTTAAAGAACACTATTACAGAAATAAGAAGAGCAATGTTTTGCAATTTGGTAGTGAAGATTTGTCATTTCCAGCTGGTCTGATATTGACAATTGAAACGGATGATTAGTTTCAACTATTTTATGTTAACATTGTAAGCAGATTACCTGCACATAATCAATCCTCTGTCACATGTTTTGGTCTGACTGATATATGATATATCAGAGGGATCCAGGATTCGTGTTTCGTTCTCTTATAGGAATTGTCAAGAGCATGTATCTGCATTCTGGTGATTTTTTATTACGATGAATCAGTTGTAGTGTCGGATATCAACAACTGAAAATTAATAAACCTTAAGTAAAATTGATATGCTTGAAACTATTACGAGTTCACCTTAGTGGGTAAACGAGAGCGAAGACCAATAATACAGGGACACGATAGGGTTTTCTGATTCGATTGTGCCCAACCCTGCTAACTATAGCAAAAGTCTTGATAAGGCTTAGAAAAGTGTATTCTACAAGCACCCAGAAAATATGAGGTTGACAAGCACACAAATCGAGTTTATTTATACATGATAGAAACGTCATTGGGAGAGCCACGAAAAATAGCGTACTAAAATAATACATCAACCAATGACAGTCAAGGGTTTTACGGATGCGAAATGTAATCTCAAGGTCAACTGATTGGCCCATGCGCTAATGAAACATATTTCTTGACGTAACTCTTCATCTATTGTGTTATGCCGGTTAACACTGACACTTTTTTTTCATTTCAAATGAGATTTTATCTACACAATGTGTCGTTTTTTTCCCAGAATCTCTCCCATTCACTTGGCCAGTTAATTTTACTGGATTACCGAAACTTGATTATTCATCAAAAAGAAATCCGATTTTTACTAAACATTTTAAATCATTGAATATAGGACACAATAACAGATATCTGCCTAGATCGTATTATATTTCGCCAGCTATACAGCATAGTCAACAATATTTTCTACCTTTCTCATCTTCACACGGTCAAAATTATCCTCAGCTAAACCAACAACAACAACAACTGCATATTGACATTCCGACTAGTCAACCAGTTCATAATCCTAACGGATTTACTCCATGCTGTCATCATCATCATTATCAAAATAATAATAATCTTTTAGTATTTCCATCGCCTAGTTCATCCGATCTTAGTACTACAATGTATTTACATCGTAACACTACTGGTTCAAATGATTTCACAGGATATTACAAATCGACTTATCAACAAACACATAACCAGACACCATCATCATCATTGTCAAACACACTGAGTGTACCTGTCACACCGTTAACTGTCAACTGTTGGTCATGTACCTATTCCGGTTTAACATCATCATCGTTATCAAACTATCCGTCTATTCAACAAACATCCATGAATCATGCCATAGATATTGTGACTGGTAAAAATCAACACTCATGTAATATAACGCCGGGAAATTATCTCTCGCCGAATTGCATGAATAATTATTGCACACAATCCAATTATGATACAGCAACATCATCATCATCATTGATGAAGCTACATTTACCATTTCATGGAAAACAACTTGTTACATCTAGTAGTAGTAGTAGTAACATAACAAGTCAAGCCATCATAAACACCAAACACATTCATCAGAAAGCTAACACGAACAATGATTCGGTTGGTTTTCGTAAAAAATCACAAAAGTGTTGTTGTTCAGGTGATCAGTCTACGTGTTATTATCAATCAGATGAACATATTCGAAATACTGTCACTAATAATGATAATCATTCACATTCTATCAGTGCATTAAATCGTAATACTTCCAAGGGAGTAAAGAAATATTATTCTGAAAAGTGTAATGATACTACTAGTTTTACTACTACAAGTAGTAGTAAAAATAGTAATAAAAACATTGTCAATGAAAATGTTGTCATTACCACTCGTAGTACTACTACTACTACTAGTAGTAGTAGTAGTAGTAATCGTCAAACTGGCAGTCCTACTGTTATTGTCAAAATCAATACTGATGATAATAGTAATAATAATAATAATAATAAAAGTATTAATAGTCATAAGAGTATGAAGAATCATTTAACTGAACAAGAACAACTAAATCAATGTAAATATGCTACGGTTACACTTCATGATGAATGTAAAAAGCTTGATTTTAAGTCAACAATTCATCAGACTACTAATTATAATCATAGTAGTCAAATTGATGATGATGATGATGATGAAGATCACATTATCACAACAGCAACAACAACATCAACGATTCATTCTGTTTCGAGTAGAAATAATCAAACATTGCATCGAAATAAAAATGGTTTCAGTAAAAATTCTACACTTAATACATCACACAATACTTCTCCTCCTACAACAACAACTACTATTACTTCCTCTACTAGAAAATTATCGAAATCAAATTTAAAACCTATTGGATTAGTGACAGATGAAGCAGAATGGCCAAAACTTGGCACTAATATGACCACTACAAGTGCAAATTCATTACAAGTGAGTTAATAGTGTGTTTTTACTTTTTATGTAATAGTACTATTATACTTGCCACCCGGTTGATATGTTTGAATGCTATTACGAGTTCATCTTAGTCGGTAAACGAGAGCGAAGACAAATGATCCAGTGAGACATGATAGGTTGCTACTCTAATCCGAGCTCCTCATGGTCACATTAAGTAGACGAAGAAGTCTTGACAAGACATAAAAAGTGTACTCTACAAGCACTCAGAAAAGATGAGGTTGACAAGTACACAAATCGAGTTTATTTATACATCATAGAAAGGTCCTTGAGAGAGCCACAAAAATAGCGTACTGAAGTAACACATCAACCATTGGCAGTCAAGGGTTTTTCAGATGGGAAATGTAATTTCAGTGTCAACTGAGCAGCCCATGCGTGAAAGCATAAAACCGAAAATTAGGACCTTTATGAAGTGAGTTCTGGAGATCTAACGTCCCCAACAAGTACATTCAACAATTTCAGTTTTCTTCTGATACTTATAAAATTCGTGTATAGAACAGGTCACATAAATAGAGGGATAACATTGAAATCAGTCAGTCAGTTCAATGTAGAACTTCATAAGTACGTACATAAGTTCAAGTTGCCATACCACATTAGCACAGAGACGCAATTGTCAATTCAAATACCATAGTAGTAGAGGTAGTAGAAGTATTAGTAGACATCAAAAAGATATATCATATATCATTCGAGATGTATTCCGCAGAGTAATCAATTTTTTTTAGAAAAAACGTTCATGGGGAATTTGAGAGGAGACAAAGTGTGGATGTACCTGACTCATTACGAAAGATTTTCAGCCATGTCATTCAAGCTCTTAAACTATCGGTTACTGTCGTCTCTCGGACGCCAACCAAATAGTCTACATCTACCAACATGACTCAGTCCACTTGTCAATGACTTCATGGATTTGTGCCATGTTTTTTGGTCTGGCCGCCCCTAGTTTTCTTCTAACATACTCCTACACCACAAAACATAGCTCGTCGAGGTTGAGCATACGTAACACATGTCCCAACCACCTCAACCGATGAAGTTTCACTACTTCATTTACTGACCTACCGTCCTTATCTAGCACACGTTTCTTAACAACAGAATTGCTTACTCGGTTGTCCCACGATACGCGAGCAATGCTTCGGACACACCTATGATCGAAAACCAGTAACCTACGAATATATTGTTCTATGACTGTCCATGTTTCACAGCCATAAAATAGTAAGGAGCGATCTGCTGTGCAGTACACTCATCCTTTAGTAAGCAGATCGAAATCTCGCCTACACCATAAGTGTTGCAAGTTGGCAAAAGCCAATCGAGCCTTGTGTATATCTGTGGTGAGATTTCGTCAGTCACTAGGTCATAAGCACTTATGAGACAGCCGATATAAGTGAAGCGGTCAGTATATATATGTTTATATTCATAATTGTTTCTTTTTCTTTCATAATTTCCACATTGAATAATCACACAATTCAAACAGACATCAATTGTCGCTAATTGTAAATGGTCGTTATCATCATCATCGTCGTTGTCTATGTCCAATGTTGTTGTGAATGGAAACGGTGATGTTGATGCTGATGCTGATTCTAAAAAGGATGATCAACTGCAAACCTTGTCTCATAATTCCAATTCCATTGCTCTTGATCATCATGATACTCTGAAAAAATGAATTATTCATTCATAACTACTACTGTTATTATTTGCCAACAATCAGATTGATTTATAGGAAAAAAAAACGAAAACGATTCATACCAGTAAACTGTACCCTGTGAATAAATAATAATAATAATAATAATAATAATAATGATAATAATAATAATGACAATAATAATAGTAATAAACGGTAGTAGAACAAGTGATTAATTGATTAAGTGATTACTAGTGAATTCTCGAAATGTTTTATGAAAAACAAAAGCATTCCCTACAATAAAATAGAGAAATTTATTTATTGTGAATTCTTACTTGTATTTTATAATAAATAAAGAAAAAACACAGCACTTTTTATCTTTTCGTTGTGTTGTTGATACTGTGCAACGTTTGAAACGTTTGTACATTCTTTTACTGTGTTATATATATATATATATATATATATATATATATATATATATATATATATATTGTTTCGAATCTACTCAATGTGATGAAGAGAATAGCATGGATTATGTTTGTGTAGAGTACTTACTTTCTTTGGAATTAGAGATTTATTATTTTTTTTTAAAAATGAAGATTTATTTCAATAGTGATGTTTTTGATGTTTCATGTGTTGTTGCTTGTTTGTTTTTCTCCTCTTGTCTTGAATTTGATCTTGTTTTTTTTTCCAATTGATTTTTATCCTTCTTATTGTGTGCACTTTGTGCTTTTATGTCTTTCTGCTTTTTTTTTTTGAAGTTTTCAACATTTCTGATTAAAACTACTGTGAACTAAGGAAAAAAAGATGTTATTTTTATTGTTGTTGCTGTTAGGCAGTCAGTCAGTTAGTTACAACGTAGAACATCGTACGTACATCAGTTCAAGTTGTCATTTCACATTATCATACAGAGACCAAATTGTCAATTCAAATCATATAGTAGTAGAGGTGTAGTGAAGGAGAACACAGGTGAGGGCAACCGAATTGTATTTATCTCAAATTACAGAGTTAATTGGTAAAATAGGAAAACCACATCGTAAATCGTTAATTTGCAAAATATCAATCCATCATATCGAACTGGACTGTTCCTGTTGCAAACATCTAATCCATTGTCTGAAATTTCACTGTTCATGCGTTTCATACAAATCCCATTGTGTTCCCACTCTTCCTTTCTTGATCTTTCCCCATCTTCTACTGCCAGACATTACGTTTTTACTCGCGTCATATACTACTTATAAGTAGCGCGCACCACAGTATTAGCGATAATGAAAAATATTAACAATTGAAGATATGATTTGAAAAATGCAGTCCAGTGAAACAAATTTAAAAAGTGAGGAAAAAGAATGGATACACCTGTGCCATTGTGAGTCACAATCACTTAAACTTCCCCCATCTTCTGCTGCCAGACATTACGTTTTTACTCGCGTCATATACTACTTATAAGTAGCGCGCACCACAGAGGTAGTGGAGGTATTAACGGTAATCGAAAAAGTTTAGGGTTGGAAGAAATCATCCACGCAGTATTGTGTTGCATATGCCTAAACATCGACTGCCTCATCGAGGTATATTTTACGGTGTAGGAATAGGTTGGACGAAAGCTAGAGGGGCGGCCAAACCAAAACATGGCGCAAATCCATGAAGTCACTGACAAATGGATTGAGTTATGTCGTTAGGTGTTGGGATCCGCGAGATGTTAGTAATCGATGGTTTGCGACCTTAAATGACATGGCTCAAAACCGTTTGCAATTTCGTAGGTGCATTCATTCTTTGTGTTCTCTCTAACACTAGACTTTTTAATGCCTCATCACTTTATCTTTTTAAGTTTATTTTACTAGATTCTACTTCTTGAATAATATCTTCCAATCCTAACCTCTCCTATTACCTTTAATACCTTTACTACCCCTACTACTATAGTATTTGAATTGACAATTACATCTCTGTGCTAAAGTGGTATGGCAACATAAACTGATGTACTTACGTACGAAGTTCTACGCTGCTTTTGATTGATTGATGAGATGACAAAGATGAAGTGAATGTCTGAAGGATTGTTGGCACTCAATTTTTTTTTAGGATGAACGACACTGACTTATTGTGACAAACTGTGTGTGATCTATATAACACAACATCTCCTACCTCTGATCCTGGTTATAGCACTGAATTCGATCAAATAGATTTCATAGGCCAATATATTTAAGGTTAATATTCAGTGACTACTTGATGAACTGATGTCAAATCTAGTTTTCGTTACCAGTAGCTTTTTTCAAACTTACTGCTTATACCAGCTATCCACATCGATTAAGTTTAGATTTACTTACTTCTGGTATCCTTCATGGAGCGTAGGTAGATGACCGGCATTCTTCAACCAGCCCTGTCCTGGGCATCCGCTTGGAGCCCTTCTGGATAAAGGAGGAGGGTTAAGCATGGGATTAGCCACTCAATCTTATGGAAAAAAACGCTAACCAGAACAATTCAAACCACTGAGTTTAAAGTTTGTTGAAAATACGTATTCTATGTCCCAACCGTCTTAGTTGATATTTGAACAATATAATATAATAGAATCCGTTTATTTGTGTGTTAGTACTGTGGTGCTGTGTTGCGAACTACTTATAAGTAGTATATAGCGTGAGTGTCAACGTAAAGTCTGGTAGCATAATATGGGGGGAAGATCAAGAAAGGAAGAGTCAGAAAACAATGGAATTTGTATGAAACGCATGAAGAGTGACAATGGATTGATGTTTGGCAACAGGAACAGTCCAGTTCCATAGGATGAACTGATCTTTTGCAAATGAACGATTTACGATATGGTTTTCCGATTTTACTGAGTAACTCTGTAATTTTCGTTAAATACAATTCGGTTGCCCCCACCTGTGTTCTCATTCACTACAGTACATGTTACACTGATACTATTGATAGTTTACAAAAGAAAAGGAATATCGGAACCTGTTACGCATACACATAAACATGTCATTTGAGATGCTTGAACTGTTACGAGTTTACCTTAGTCGAGAAACGAGAGCGATGATCCCGCGACACGACATGCTACTCTAATCTGATTGTTCCAACTCTCCATCGAGTAAAAGAATAAGACTTGATATAATGTAGAACCTGCATTCTACAAACACCCAGAAAGTACGAGGTCCGATTCCAGAAGAAAATCAGAAACCCCGGACTAAGGATCCGCGTATTTATAAAGTTAGGTCGAATAGGAAACAACATTGAAGTACTTGACATTCGTAGCTAGGACGACCATAATATTGACCAGTAGGAATTGACCAATAGGAACTGACCAATTGAATTAGACTCACAAGTAGTTCTCTTAGGGTATTGGATGAATATCCTAACAGAACCCGAATAATCAAGTAGGATTTTAAAGTTTACCGACTGCATAATATTATACCTAAAACAACATTACTAGTATGGTTATTTGCCTTGATTATAAGGAGATTAATCACTATTCATTGTCACGGTACATAAATTGATGTTGCTTAAAAACTTTACCAAAATTACGCTGAATTATGTATCTAATCGATAGGTAGATTTAAATATGAATTGGACTACCTACTTACGCCTGTTACCACTAATGTGGCATAGGCCGCCGGCCAGTTTTCTCCAACCAACTCTATCCTGGGCTTCCCTTTCCAGTTCTTTCCAATTTTTGTTCGATCTTTTCATGTCTTTCTCTATTTCTCGATGTAATGTGTTCTTTGACCTCCCTCTTTTCCTTTGACTGTGAGGGTTCCATGTGAGGGCTTGTCTCGTGACGCAGTTCAGTGCTTTTCGTAGTGTGTGTCCTATCCACTTCCACCGATTCCTCCTGATTTCCTGCTCCGCTGCGATCTGGTTTGTTCTCTCCCACAGTGCGTTGTTGCTGATGGTGTCTGGCCAACGAATACGAAGTATTTTGCGTAGACAACTGTTAATAAATACTTGTATCTTCTGGATGATGGCTTTGGTAGTTTTCCAAGTTTCCTCTCCATACAATAGAACTGTTCTGACATTTGTAATGTAAATCCTGATTTTGGTGTTGATTGATATTTGTTCCAGAGTTCCAGATGTTGTTCAATTATAGAAATGCAGTCCTTGCATGTATTGAACTAGACAGTAGCTAATTTATATTAAACGATTATCAAATGCATGCATACACAGTTTGCAGCATTGATTAATGGAACTAAATCAACGAACAACATAATTAATTACTGTGTTGCCCATTGCTTCTTTCTAACTGTGAAGTCTCCTACTAGCATAACTAATCTACAATACAATCTTTGGTAGTAACACTAGTAGAACCGCCTGCGCCCCTCCCAACTCACAATTCAAAAGCCAGAAGATTGCCTCATCCCAGTAAATGTCGAAATGTCCTGAGAAAACATTTGAATTACACATTTTCTCGTACAAAGTAAAAAAAACATCACTGAAATCGTACGATCCCCAATTAGCAATATTACGTCATCCAATTGCCTCATTGATATGTTCGTCACTTAGGATGCTTGAGGCTATTACGAGTTTACCTTAGTCGATAAACGCGAACGAGACTTTTACCAGCTTCCAGGAAGGCTACCCTGAATCCCAGAATCGAAATAGAAGACTTTGTAGGCGTAGAAGTATATTCTACAAGCACCCAGCAATCCCAGTACAATCAAGCATACAACTCTCGTTTATTTATACAACATAACAACGTCCTTGAGACAGTTAAGAAAATAGCATACTAAAATACACTGCAGCCAATCACAGCCATTGATTTTGCTGGTGGGAATTGAAATCTCAAGGTCATTTGATCAGCCCCTGCTGGCGAAACGTGAAAACCAAAATACGGCATTATCAAGCGAATTTTGGGGATCTAACATCCCCAACACTCCTCCCCTTTTTAATAGCTTGTTCTCCTGGGGTCGACTTGCATCTTGACTATTGTTCGCCGCTGTCTGAGGGGATACCTTCGGGAACGAAGAACAGCTTGCTGCTGAGTTTCTTCTCGTGGCGGGGCTCTCGGTAGGTTGAAGGTATCAAGCAAGATGTCAAGGGGAAGGCTTTCTGCTCTTGATGGGCGATCTGGGGCTAGCCGTCTGCGTATCTGATTGCGATGACGTGACCATTTATCACCTCCTACCTCTACTTCGTACATAACTCGACCAACCCTTCTGACCACTCTCGCTTTTACCCAAGGACCATGGTTCGT